ACAGCAAGGCTGGGCTTGTGGGGTCCAGCAAAGACAGAACTGAAAACATGGATGTTCTTGCTTTGAAGACCAGCACAAAAAAAAAAAAAAAAAGAAGTCAGAATGGTGTCTCTGCCCTTCATCTAAGATGGATTTCTTTCTCTCATGCTCTGGAACAGAGGAGAATGTTAAGCAAAGGACAGTGAGACTGCAGGCCTCCTTCCCCTATTAGTAAAAAACTGCATTCAGAGCTGCTGGTCACTTTTGGCAACCCCAAAAGCCAATGAAGCAAAACCGGCAGCGAAAATCATGACATTATTTAAAAAAAAAAAAAAAAGAGGAAAAAGAAAAGAAAATATTGATTTCTCATTTATTTATCACATGGGTTACAAGATATTTGGTATCTTCTCTGTGCCATCAAGATGATGAGAAGCTGCTGCTGATGATGATCTGTTGGCTGGGATGATAGAATCAAGGAATGGCTTTGGTGAGAAGGGACCTTAAAGTTTATCTTTTTCCAACCCCCCTGCCATGGGCAGGGACACCTTCCACTGGACCAGGATGTACTAACCAGGCCAGGAAAAAGGAAGATACCTGCTGGAATCTTGGGAATTGGCAGCACCCAGTGGCTCCCTCAGTATCAATATGACTTTGCTTTGCCTCTTCTTGCTTCATGACTTGGATATTTAGACCTTGATCAGGCTTTTCTAACAAAAATACCTTAATCGAAGAGAAGTGCCCCTAAAGTGGAATTTATAATGACTTCTGTGCAGCATTTCCTCCTCTTGAAGCCCAGAACATTATTGTAACTTCGTGGTTTGAACGTGGTTTTTTCCCAAACGTAGAGCAGCAAGAGCATGATTAGAGGCCAGCAGCTATTTGGGAAAATCCAAGTGGAATGAAACATCTCAGTGGCTGGGCCAAGATCTGATATCCAAACCCAGGAAGTCTGTGCAGTTGTAACTATATTAAGATTAGAGTAATCCCTGATGGGAAGGATAGATTATTTTATTTGGCAAATTCCTAAAAGCAGCTTATTTTCACCAGTTACCACCAGTAGGTTGAGTCCAAAAACCTGTTTCTGATAAAGTATAACTTGTTCTCTGTTGAACTCTTCCTTTTCAGGAGCTGAGCTGGGCAGCCCAACTTACTTCCCCTCACCCCTGCTATTCAGATAATCTGGAGAGGGTTATGAATTTCTGTAGGTTTTCACTTCACAACTAGCTGTAATTTTCAGATTGTAGAGGACCTCTGAGGACATTCAACACCTCATTCAGCTGCCTAAATGTCGGTTCTCAGAGTTACTGAGATAACCTTGGAGCGAGGACATCCATGCCTTGCTCCAGGAGGGTGCAGAGCTCCTCTACATCCTTTTGTGCTTCCTTTCCACACCTTCCTTTGTTCTTTACTGCCCTTTTAAAATCGTTGACGTGAGTGGTGTCACAAGGCAGATCTTCCCAATGCCTTGGAGAAAAGGAGGATTTTCTTCTTGTTCCTCCCCACTGTTCAGTTTATAGAGCAAACAGTTGTGTTTGCCTTTTCTCAGGAGCACATAACTGGGAGTTTATGCTGAATTATTTCCCTCTTTTAGTCCCTAAATTCTCCACTTCTTTGCCAAAATTCAGGCTGCCATACTGGAGGGCTGTGCTGAATCTGTTCCCTTTTGAGTCCAGGTTTTTTATTTGGCTGGATTCAAATAGATCTTCTCAGCCAGCAATTACAAGTGCTTTGAGGTGCAAGTTATCCAGGCCTGCTAATTTTAAATGCTTACCTCTTGTATAAGATGTTTAACATCTGCCTTTGTTATTAATGAACTGGAAAAAGCTTCTTCATCACCATCAGAGCCAATCACATTTCACTGCTGCTTTCCAAATACAGGTCAAAATCAGACATTGAACTTTCCTCTACTGCAGTGTGCAATCTGTAAAATTTTGTTGGTTGTGACGTTTTTTTGTTACAAAAAAAACCCCAAACAACCCAAAAATTCCAAGGAAACAAAACTCAAAACCAACTAAAGAAAAACAAAAAAAACCTAGAAATATTCATTTTTCATTAATCTCTTATTTTTATCAGCTGTGGATTTTTCCTGATGTCTTCAGGGTCTCATATAATGCTTTTAAAATACTCAGTACTGCATTTGCATTTCTTCATCTATATTTGTCTTAGTTCAGTAAATATTGGGTTGTTGGTTTGCTTATTTATTTTCACTTCCAATTCCCCCTTTTAACCTGTAGTTGAACTGAGATTAAGTTTTTACTCCAAGTTAATCATTTGCACTGGGAAACCAGGCTTGGCTTGGATCATCATCCCTTTGGCTGCCTGGCCCATCCTTCCAGAAGAACCATGACCTGCCTCACAGTGCTGAGCAACGTGGGCTAGTGGAAGGTGTCCCTGCCCGTGGAAGGTGTCCCTGCCCATGGCAGGGGGTGGAACTGGATGATCTTTAAGGTCTTTTCCAACCCAAACCATTCTGTGATTCCATGATCCTATAAATAGCGCAGCCAGGGGTGGGTGGTGAAGGAGGTTCCCCATCATCAGTCTGGTTCCTGGCCATCAGGAAGAGAAGGTTCCGTGGCAGGTGGGATGCCCAGATGACAAGAGGAAGACGGGTTTTATTACAGAGGCATCATTTGGGGAACCATAGGGGTATTTTAATAGGGTACTCCAACATTGTGCTGTCTAATCTCTTATATGGATCCGAATCATGGGTCATCTACCGCCACCACCTGCGTCTCCTAGAACGCTTCCATCAACGCTACCTCCGTACAATCCTAAACATCCACTGGGCAGATTATGTGACCAATCCATCTGTTCTAGAACCAACAGCAGTCACAAGTATTGAGGCCATGTTGCTGAGAACACAGCTGTGCTGGGCAGGGCACGTCTCCAGGATGAAGGACCAACCACCACCTCCCTAAGATCCTGCTCTATGGTGAACTTGCCACTGGCTGCCGCAAGAGAGGAGCCCCGAAGAGAAGATACAAGGACTCCCTGAAACAACATCTCAGCCTTGGCCATATTGATCATCATAACTGGTCTACTTTGGCCTCCAATTGGGAGATCTGGAGACACACCAGCTATAACTCTGCTGTCTCCTTTGAGAACGCAGCAGGATCACCCTTGAGGAGAAAAGACAACGCAGAAAGAATCGTACCTTGCAGAATGTACCACCTAAGGAGTCTTTCAGCTGTGCCTTTTGCAATCGGACGTGTCTATCTCATAGTGACCTTTTTAGCCACCAATGAGCTTACAACAAACGTGGGTAGAGCCCTCCCCAGATCTTCATTTGCAAAGCCCAGCCATGACTCCAACATGCTGGTGTTGCTTTCTGGATGACAGTGAGAGGAATTTAGCAGTGAGAAAAAGATAACATAATCTTAATGACGTCATTCTGGAAGCATAGGGATGCGCTCCTGGAAAAGTTGGGAAGGATCAACAGAGCAGAGCACGTACGTGCAGCCGTCCATTTCCTACAACAATTGTTTACTCAAAAATCGACTTTAATAAACACTACAATCAGCACAGGGAAATTTCCCACAGTTCACAGAGAGGACTTAAGAGGGGAACTTAATTCATTTCACCAGGGGGGTGGTTTTAGAATTGTTATGAGCAACTTAAGTGCTGTTTCATTAACAGTTTTACAGTTTCCTACAATTAATAACACCAGATAAGAAAACTAAACATGCTAAATATTAAACTCTCAAACTTTCAGTAAGTAGAGCACATGCAAATGGGGATCCCCTGTTTGGTGTCATTGTTTCTAGAGATATATCTGTGTTTATAAAACATATTTCTATTCATGTGACTTGGATGGCAAGCAAAAAACTTGGCTGGGTTTTGTCAATTAATGTTTTTAAAACATTCTTGGACGATGTTACATGCCCATGCTTGAAGTGTTACTGTGGTGAGTGCCTTCTGCAGGAAATCTGGGACTTCCAGGAGTTTATGATGTGACTGAAAAGCCTCTGCTGCAGGTAAAACTTTGGAGGGAAGAAGGACTGTTTTTTTTAATTGTTACTGTTTTTATTCTTTTAATGATGCCCCCTGATTGCTTTAGGATGGCTGGTGTTTTGAGGTTATTTCCTCCCGAGGCGTTCTGTGACTAGAAACTTTGATGGCAGCTTGAGCTATAGCAGAGGGACATTTAAAGGAGTTTTAAATCTTCGTCTCAACATAAACAGAATCATTTAGGTTGGAAAAGACCTGGAAGATCATCGAGTCCAACCATTAACCCAGTGCTGCCACGTTCACCACTAAACCATATCCCCAGTCCAGAGCTTCTTGAAGCTATAAGATTTATCCTTCTTGCATGGATAAACTCAGCTGGACTCATTGTAATCATCCACTGTGTGACTTAGAAGATGTCATCTTACTTCCAGTTGCCCCCTGAATTAAAATCCTGACAGGACAGTGGTGCAGGCAAAGGTCTTACACTGATTGATGTTAAAGCACCAGGCAAAACGTCACTGACGTGAAGCTGTTGTAGACAAAAGGTGAAGGAATATCATGGATCACCAAGGAACTAAAAGGGCACAGGCAGCTGCGGTGGAAAACAGCATTTTCAAGAGCAGTGAAGTCCTGTGTTCACAGTGTCCCCCCTCAGACAGACGCTCCTTCAGGGACACAGAGGTTCTCATGTCAAGGGTGGTTGAAAGGAGGTTGTGGTGAGGTGGAAGTCGGTCTCTTCTCACAAGTAAGAAGTGATAGGATGAGAGGAAACAGCCTCAGCTTGCACCAGGGAGGTTTAGATTAGATGTTAGGAATGATTTCCTCATGGAAACAGTTGTCAGGCACTGGAACAGGCTGCACTGGAACAGGCTGCCCATGGAGTCCTCATCCCTGGAGGGATTTAAAAACCGTGTAGCTGTGCTGCTTGGGGACATGGGTGGATGTGGCAGTGCTGGGTTAACGACTAGACTCAACAATCCCAAAGGTCTTTTTTCAACCTAAATCATTCCGTGATTCTGTGATATCAAGGTCTGTTGACTGGTCCTGGTCAACTCCACAAACCCTGGGAAAAAAGCAAAACCACAGCAGGTGGAGATGCCTCCTGTGCAGAACCGGCTCCTGATTCCCTCTATTCCTTCAATATCCAAGTTTACTGATGTTTGAGGACAGTGTAGTCCTTATGTATAATAAGGAAAATCCCAGGTATGGTGTGAAACTGTCTGAGGAGCTCTCACTGAGGTTCTCGTGGGGGGCAGGGGGGGAGCTGATGGGCTGTGTGGATGGAGAGAAACTAAAATGAGGAAATACTGGGGGGGTTCTAAGAAATCTTTTTTTTATCATTCAGCTTTGATTTTGGGCAAACCTGGTTTTTTTTTCTTTCTTTGTCAACATGAACATATATATCCAAAAGCTGTTGGGGTATGTTGTGTCGCTGAGGGAGCTGGAAGGGATGAAGGGGGATGCCCTTTTCTAGTAGCTTTTCTGCTTCTCCTGGGGGATTATTTGATGGCTTGGAGTTGTTTTTTTTTCCTGTTCAGCCGCAACTCTGCAACACAAATATCCGGTGCACTGATATCAGACCTTGCTGAAAGGTGATTATTTTATTAAGACTTAGATAAGGGATCTGGAAGGGTTAATCTTGGTTACTGCTCCTGGTGTAACATTTTGTCCTCCTCATCTTTCTATGTTTCTCTTCTCCACCTGCAAAATCGGAATTTCTCAGGGTTTTTCTTTTGCCTGTTTTAGTTCATTTTCCACATCAAGGCTGCAGAGGAGGGGCTGAACACACAGACAAACCCTCTTACATATGGCTGCTGATTATGTTAGGCTGGAAGTATGATAAACAATAAACTGGAAGCAAACTTTTGTTTTGGTCAAAGGAAAAGAGGCAAGTGATCCCTGCTGGACTTTTAACTTGAGTACATGTCTCTGTGTTGGAGTAAAAGCACTTGAAGAAAAATGATAAGAGGTCCGAAGAATGTGGTGGGGAAAAAAAAAAAAGAACTGGGGATGTTTATTCTAGAAAATGAAACACTGAAGGGAGAAGTCACAACTTGTCTTTTAAGTGTGTGAAAAAAAAAACCTGCTACAAATAAGAAGTGGGAGAAAAAAAATCTCCATAACCAGTCTGGGTAGAACTAGAAATTTGGGGCTCAAATTGCAGCCACAGTAATTTAGTGTTTGAAAACATAGGCTGATTCTTTTTGATGGTCAGCAGAGAGAAGCCCAGGAATTGATTAGGATTTATAGGGACACTGGGGAGTCTCTGTCACTGGGGACAGTTAAAGGATGGGACAAAAGCTTGTAGAAACCATTACTGGGACTTCTTACTTATCAAATAGGGATTAAATAGCCACATCTTATGGACTCTCCTAATAATGGTTGTTTTTTCTTTCCCCTCAGCTTGTGAACCCAGTAGACAGATTGTTAAAAGAATCCCAAGAATTGCACCTTCTCCCTTTACTCTCAACTCAGAATCATCTTCATGCAGAATCATGGGCTGGCTGAGGTTGGAAGGGACCTCTGAAGTTTTTTTGTGTGACTGTTTGAAATTTAGTTTGACCCTCTGCATAGCCCCAGCCATTAGTTTCTTCTTTTGACCTGCAGTACAAACAGACCTGAAGGATTTGGAAGAGACACTTCTGAAAGAGGCAACTCCTGCCTGTCAGTGTTAAACCATCCCCAAGCAATGCTTTGCTTCTAATCCTCATTTGTCTCATTAGAGAATTCACTCACTGGAATTTGTTAAGCCTTTTCCACATTAAATAGATATCCTTGGGAGGAAATCTTCTTATAGTTTAGGCATTTGCTGGCTATGGTTGATTACACATTTTCTTTCTCTCTCTCTCTCTCTCTCTAAGTTTAGCTGGGCTTTTTTATTTGCTTTATTATTATTATTTTTTGCACTAGTAGGTTTTCCAGACTTTTAATCACTCCTATAATGCCATTCTCAGTGTTTTACGGGTTGGTTAGGCAGGGTGTATATTGTGCCAGGTGAAATCCTCCCTATTTCCAAGCCAGTAGAAATCCCTGTGGCTGAAGTTTGTCTCACAACTTACTCTGCAAAGAGACCACCACCTCCCAGTGAAAATCTGATGGTTATTATTTCTAAAACTGGAAAAGTGGAGCCCTGTAGATGAACATTTCTTGTGTAAGAGGGGGTGATATGGCTCCTCTTCGACCTCAAGTTATTGTACGCAACGTTGTAGTCAAAAGGTACTTGAAGAGCAGTTACAAATAATGCAGATTGCTACAGTACAAGGATTGTGGAACAAAACAGTCACCCAGAAACATACAGTTTCAAAAAATGCAGTTTCAAAAAATGCAGTTTCAAAAAATGCAGTTTCAAAAAATGCAGTTTCAAAAAATACAGTTTCAAAACATACAGAAACAAACAAACATGTTTAGAGGGTTTTAAGACTTGGGTAGAGAAATCTGTGGCTGAGCAAGAATAGCATTGTTATGAGACCAAATTCAGCCCTCCAGAGACCCTTCCAGCCCAGAATTCCTGTAATTTGATGATGAGACAGCACTTGGTACTATTTGTTCTGTGGCCACCACGATGCCTCTGCTGAAGCCTTTTCCTGGGCAATACTGGGGTAATCCTTTGGCCAAATTTCCTGATGAACAGGTTGTTAAAACAATAATGACAAGGGACAACTCACCCTTGTGTGACTTCAGTGTTGTGTTGGATGAACCACTTCATGAGTTAGTCAGGCCATGGTTGTGTTGTCAGCTGGAGGCACCACACCAGTGTCACCAGGAGAAGATTGAGCTTCTTTAGGGGCTCAGGTCCTTTCATTCAGCTGACCAGAGCATCTGGCTGTCTCAGAATACTTTTGTTATAACCAGAAATCATTTCTCAGGACCACTGAGACAGTTCCCTGGGCTATATTAGCAAAAATGACCACTCTTGTTATAGACTTTGACACTCAGTGCATAGAAAAAGCCACAGCCCTGCACAGTCTGAAATCATCCCACTTCAGAAAGTCTCTTGAGAGCTGAAATCCTGGTGAACTCAAAGGGACACTTGGAAACAAAAAGCCTCCTCTTCTGTTATCCCATGTTGTACTCAGTGTTTGAGAGGCACACGAGACAAAGGATGAATGAGCAGGTAGGGCTGATTTCTTCCCAGCAGTTTTCCTTTTCTCCCCTCTCTCGCCCTTCTGGAGGTGAATCTGTGGGAGTAGATGTTCCCTGTGCTCTTCCCTGATATTCCTGCTGCTCAGCATGCTGCTGCCTGTCTCTCAGTTAATTGATTTTACACACTTGAAGGAGCTTTGGGGAGTCAGCAAAATGGTTTTTTGCCTTAGTTTCATGCTTTCTTCCCCAGAATCAAAGTTGAATTTAGTTGCTATCAGACTTTTTTCTTTCTCTTTTTTTTTTTTTTTTTTTTTTTTTTTTTTCATTCTCTTGACTTTCCAGTCAGGAAATTGGAACTCAACCTGCAGGACTGCAGTTTTTTTGGGTAGCTGTCTGGTGTCACTGCTCTCTTGATTTGATGTGAGCAAGCACAGCATCCAGGGATGCCAGGTTGGAGCCAGGAAAGTTCAGGCTCTGGAGGAGAAGTTACCAAGCAGGTTGGGGCTACTAAGACAAGGAGGAGGTGGCTGTAAAGGGCTGATTAAAGGCACTATCGTCATGATTTAAATTATCCTTCTCTGTCTTTTTAAGAGTCTTTGCCCCATCTCTAATTGTGGGCAGTTTGGCCATTTGTAGCCATGTGATGAATTCTGCACTACCTTGTTCCCTGAAGCCACCAAAGAGCTTTGCCCTGGATCAAAATGGTCAGAAAATGCCCCAAGAGGTGTTTGCTGGAGACAGAGACTCCGTGAAGATTATATTGCCTATAATACAGAACCAGGCAGCTTTGGTTTGTGTGTTCCAGCATCCCTCAAGCACAATCAGATTAACAGGTTCTTCTACTCTGTTGTTTCCAGCAGGGGTTTCAGGTTCTCATGGGCCTTTTCAGCTTAAAAGGTTCTTCTGCTCTGCTGTTTCCAGCAGAAGTTTTGTGTTCTCAAGGACCTTTTTGTGGGCTGCTCCCTGTTTCCTATTCTCGTTCCATCATCACATTTCATTCTATCTTTAGGAGAGCCACTGACTCTTTAAGTGGCTGCAGACCTCCCTGTGGCTCCATATTTCTGCCTTCATCCCACCCTGCAGCCTTCCCACCGGCCATGTCATAGAATCCCAGAATGGTTTGGGTTGGAAGGGACCTTCAAGACCATCCAGTTCCAACTCGCTTGCCAGGGGCAGGGACACCTCCACTGTCCCAGGTTGCTCCAAGTCCAGTCCAGCCTGGCCTTGAACACTGCCAGGGATGGGGCAGCCACAACTTCTGTCTGGGCAACCTCCCTTAGTTTCCTTCCAGCTGTTGTATTATCCTTGTATCCACTGTTATGGTTGTCATTCCTTTCAGCATAGAATCAGACTATTTAGTGAGGATAGGAAGGTTTAGATCCACTGATTTTCATCTCACCTCCCACAACAGCAACCTTATTAAAAACCAAACAAACAAACTATTGCTTACATTGCCATGATTTCCTTTTGATAAACCACGTTTTATATTTTATCCCCATCTCCACTTGCTGCCACACTTTCAATTACACTTTCAATTACATTTTCCTTCGAGTGGTGTTCAAAAGCCTTGTGTGCTTTTGTGCTCAGATTAACTTGCTGAGAGCTGTCTGGATCTTTTTTTCCTCCCTCCTTCCTACATGTAAAAAAAGCTTTACTTTTGTTGACTTTCAGCCAGATGGTCCCACTCCCACCATCCCATCTGACCACATTGTTCTCTTCTGAGTGGCTTTCACCTCACATATGACAGTTTCCACACTCCTGTTTGCCTTCACAGCCAGCCCTGTTGTTGTTCTCAATAATTCAAGCTAAATCATTTCCCCCATGTGCAACTATTCAACTTCATACTAGTAAAACTATATTTTCACCTCTAATTCTTTGGACAAGCCAGTGAACAGAAGTGGGGGGGGGTTACTTCTCCTTTTTGGGGGGCTGTGATTAGCTTTCACTTGAATTTCAGGACTTCTCATTTTTTTTAACCCTTTTTATTTATGTGGCTCATAGATTTTTTTCTGCTTAGCTGAGTTGTTCTTGACAGCCAGGGTGAGACTTCTAACAGTGCTCAGAGGTTTTCTGCTCATTCTGCTACTCTAAACATCATTTTCTTTCCTGATCCATCAGCTGCTCTGCCCAGGTGTCCTGATCCCTCCTAATGCCCATCTCAGATTTTGCTTCCTAACTGTCAATATTCCTAAAGTGAGATTTGAAGTCTTTCTCTTGTTCCCATGAAAAAAGGGCCCAACTCCTTTCTTCCCTACTCTTTTTTCCATCCAAATTCTCTTTTTTCTCTGTTGGCTCTCTGCTACCAGACCAGGGTATTTTGAGGAGAACATTTAAATGTTTCATATCTCTGATATGAAACAGATGTGGACTTCAGGATACCCTGGCATGTGGAAAGGTCTTTTAGAGACATAAAAATGCTGGCAACAGAGAATGGGAAGTATTTAGGGGTTTTGCTTGTCTGTCTTTGCTATAAGGAAGGAGATTTTGGAGACAGACAGACCAACCTGAAAGTGTTGATGTGTTGGTTTGTTGTTGGTTTTTTTGGGGGGGTGTCATGAGTTAAGGGTTTCTTGGGTTCTTTTTGGGGTTTTTTTGTTTGGGGTTTTGTGGGGTTTGGTTTTTTGTTTGTTTGGTTTTGGTTTTGTTTTGTTGGTAGTGGCTTTGGTTTGTTTGTTGTTGTTTTTTGTTTGTTTGTTTTTATGGGGGGGTTGTTTGTTTGTTTGTTTTTGGTTTTTTGTGATTTTGGGGTTGTTTCTTTATTTGTTGGGGGGTTTTTTGATGGTTTCTCCATCTGTCAAAAGACATTAGAGACACCACCTTTGTAAAACATGCTGAGATCTACAGCCAGTGGCACCACCTGACAAAGGTCTGGTGATACTGTACTAAGATTTGGGTTTGCCATCTAAGCATTCAGTTTCTGTGCACCCTTTTATATTTTCCCTTTCAAACAGGCAAGGCAGAAACATCTTCCCTTTAAGCCTTTTCCCCCATCTGTGTTGTGGGTAGGTAAAGAATGACAAAAGAAAATGCCCAGTGGAATAAAGTAGAATTATTTATCTGCCTGAACAGCTGTTTCATCACAGTCTGGTTGCACAGTGGAAGGTGGTTACTCCTTGACTTTGATTCAGGGATGGATGGGAAGCAAAGCTCTTGGATTACAGCAAAGCTGGTGTGGTGAGTCCCTTCAGGAAGTGAGAGGGTGATATCCTTATCTCCTTAAAACCATTGTTAAACTCTTTCCTGGTCCAGCCTCGCCGTGTCCAGTCCCTGGAAGTGTCCAAGGCCAGGTTGGTTGGGGCTTGGAGCAACCAGGTCTACTGGGAGGTATCCCTGCCTCAGTGGGGCTGGAAATCAATGATTTGGGAGGTCCTTTTCAATCTAAACCATTCCACGATTCTGTGTTCACAGTGTGGCAACTGCTAGTGGGTTGTTCTGGTTTGTAACACAGATATTTGCAGCGTCTGACACTTCACTTGGACCATCTTCACTCCGCACTCAGCTGTTTGCTCGGCAGAAGTGTCGATTTTTGGGATGCAGCCCTGGCACAGCATCCTGGTGTTCTGGGATCTTGAGCCTTCTCTGAGCATTGTGATGGGGAAGCTGGCTGGAGCTGTCAGAAAAATTTAGCTGTGGCCCTCAGGCTCCTGGGAAGACATCAGTGTTCCCATCAGGTGGAAGTGCTGCATGCTTGCCTGGTTCTGACAGCACAGGGGTGTTGTGTCATGTCACATTTGTTCAACTCTCCTGCTTGTCCAAGGCTCTCGGGCTCATGGTACAACCTGTTCAACCTGTAGCTTAGAGTCCCTTCCAGCTGGGAATAGTGGAGCCACGTTTTTCATTATTCCCGTGTTTTCATACTGGCCCTTCCCACAAAGCACTCAGAACTGTGTAGGGTGAGTGCTGATGGTTTGGACTGTCACTCCAGCCCTTGCTTTACTGATGGTGTGGGAACACTGGATTTACACTGGATTTCTAGACACCCTCAGAGCTTTCACTTCCTCTAAAATTTAAAAGGAGCCGCCCATGTTGTTAAACCAAGACTGTTGTTCCTCCAACCAGACCACTGCAGCATTTCTGAGAACTAAAGAACGTTCAGATTACTTTATCCAGCCCCCTGGTTATAAATAACTCCCAATATCCAGCCTTGCAGGAGGCCTGGGGGGTCCTGTTTGCTGAAGGTTTTGTGTAGGTTTTGTGTGTACGCAGCTCCCAGGCAGTGGGAGAGGTCTAGGGAATAATTGGGAATGAGAAGGACAAGGGAGAAGCCTCAGGGACTTCACTATGATTTGGATCAAACTCTAATTTTGTCCCAGGCCCTGTACTAACTGCCCACTTCCCAGCTCAGGGGCTCTTCAGGGCATTGCTCAAATGGCCAAACTCCCTGACTCTGGATTTGGGAACCCCTTCTGCTCCACCTGCCACACAAAGCCTTCCACCTTTCTGTGGCCATCTGAGTTCAGTCCACATCTCACTGTGGTGGCAGGAGGACCTGCTGGATGGGGACACCGGGGTTGGTTTCAGGAGGAAAAGAAGACTCTGGTGCCACAGCTGGAGTGAGCTGGAGGTGCAGAGGAGAGAGACCAGGACTGGGTGGGGGCACTCTGGGGTTGCCCAGGGCAAGAATCAGATCTGGATGGATGGAGACATTGTCAGGAATTAGGATCTGAGGCTTTATAGTCCCTTCTGTGCCTGCAACTGAATTAGGGACCGTTTCTTCTGTCCCCAGCAGCAAAGAGGTGGCTCCTCAGGGCTGGATGAGCAGCAATTCAGGGCAGTGTTAACACCTCCCTCTGCACATTCTCCTGAAGCCAAGGGCCTTTTCTGAACAGCAGCATTTACATCTTGAAAAAAAACCACAACCTGTAAGCAAATTAGAGCACTCACTAGACTTTCACTGAACTTCTCTGTAAGGATCATTCCAGTTACCATCTCACAGCTGCTCTGGGAGAAGGCTGGGGAAGGATGGGGCTGTGTGGAGGGGAATCATTGAATTTAGGCATGAACCCAAGTCTATGGGTTTATCTCATTTACCTTTAGATATTTGCAGTCTAGACATCCACCCCTGAGCCAGTTGCCTCAGGCTCCCTGGCTGAAACAGTCGAGGGTTTCCTCTTACCTATTTTAGACATTTCCTTTAATTTGGAGTGACTCATGCCCTGAAAGTGCTTCCTTCTCTCTTCAGGTGAGGAAGGACAATCAGTGTGAAGCAGACAAATGTAGATGTTTACGCACAGACAGCTAATTTTTGCCCATTGATCCCCAAATCATGTTTCTGAGCCCTATCAGGCAGTTCTGGGGCTGCATTTCCTTTATGTTTCTGCTGCCCCTGTAGCTGACTGAGCAGATGCTTTGGAGGTGAATTTCCCACAGGAGGTTAGATCAGTTTAGTGGGTAAGTTTTGGAACACTCTTTAAGAAAAGGAGCAGACTTTTCCTCTAGCAGGCTTCTTACACCCAGAGGTAAAAGGAAATTAAAAGCAGTCAATCACCAGTAGTTCAGGGAAAACTGCAAGTTACTTTGCTGCCTCCAATTTCTAGAGAAGTCAGGGAGTGGTGTCCACTTTGCTGTCCCTGTGTGCTCTTGAGATTATCAGAGTTGTTCCTTTCTTATTTTTTCTCATTCATAGGAGAGACATTACAGCACTTTGCCCCTTACTCTGAATTGTAGATCTAAGCACAGCTGATCTCAGCGTTGCAGCATCCCTCTATTTCTGCAATAATCTGAATTCAAACCCTTAGTCTGAGCACCCTGGCATGGAAATTCATACTTACTTACTCCAGATGATAATTTAAAGGAGTAAAATGTGCTTGCCCAGCCATCAGAGCTGTCTCCTACTCAGTCGTAAGAATTTACTCAAGTGCTGCTTCTCTTTTAGCTGCTGTTCCAGGCTGTCACTTCTTCCTTAAGACCCTCGTTCAGCTCTGTTTTCCACGAGAGGCTCATACAAGCTTATTACTAAGGAGTTAAGGAATAGCTGTTTAACTTCCCTTCCTTCTGGTTCTTCAAGCTCTCTGCAAAACACCCATTTCCTTGACCTTCCAACCCCTCCCACAAAAATGGGAAAATCCAGGTGAATGAAGCCTCAATGCCTCCAAGCTGCTGGGTTGGTTTGGCCAAGTTGCCTTTGTTTGACAGGGCCTGCCTGGATCAGCTGGAAAAAGACATCTGCTTTCCTCCTCAAATGACAGATCTGTCATGGGCATGATTGTGTTTGGCAGAAGCGTAAAATGGAGTGGTTTGAACAGAAAAGTGAGAGTCAGGATGGTTGGGCATGTGCCTGGACCTCTTTTATTTGGAAAAGTCTCTGAGGGACATGTGCTGCTCCCTGTGATCCAGATCATGGGAGAATATTTATGTATGTATATATATATATTTATATATTTATTTAAATATTTAAATATATATGTGAGAATATAACACTATATAAGTCTTTAAAAATCACTGGGTTTGCAAGTCCTCCTCCACTGATCATACAAAGGCCACACAGGATGTTTGGTGTGTTTTAATCGTGGTCTTATCATCCAGTTTATGTCTCTATTACTGATATCTAACATTTACTTCCCCGTGTTGTCATATTGGTAACATGGTTTTAGATTCTTAGACAAGGTCCTGTAGAAGAGCAAATAATTATAATACTCCATAAATACTTCCTTTTTTTCCCCCCTTTTCCCAAAAGCACCAGAGCTTTAGTAGCTTTTGACAGTCTTATTGTTGGAAATTGTGTCACCCATCATCATAGGGAAAAATTCTGAGTTGGTGTTTCTCTTTGCTTTCTCTTTGCTCATTCTTGCATTTTTACACAGTGTTTTTTTGACTCAGGGGGTTTTTAGGAATAAAGCTGTATTTTCCTGAGGATATTTAAAAGGAAGAAACTGAAAAGAATCTAAAATCTAGTTTTAAGACAGAGCTGAAGGAAATTATGGAAGAAATCAAAGCTGAGATTCCTGTGTAAGATGTTCCTTCAGTCCTGTGTTTCTAAAATAATGAGTATGGATGAAAGCCATGGACTGAAATGGGGAGCTCTTCTGACAAGGAGCCAGAAGTAGCTCCTTCGGGTTGTGCTTCTGATGCTTGAAATAAGATCTGGCTGCTAAAATATTTCATTTCCCTTCTGATTCACATGAGAAAAGGTTAGGAACCTTCACCTCCACCTCAAGCAGTGACTGAAGTCAAGTTATAGAAATTCTGGGAAGGCAACTGATCCTCTTGTCTTATTCCATTACTGTTTTCCCAGAAGCCATGGGAGTGTAGTCAAGGTATAAGAAATTGTCTCTCATAACTAAAAGTTAGTTTTGTATGTAGGATGTAGGCTCTGGGAGCTGAACAGAAATGGGAGAAGGATATGATTTCATCCCCTGTAGGCTTTTCAATTCTACTCCTTTTTGTTTGACTCCAAATCCTGTTATTACCGTGGTCACCCCAGTCCTCATCTCTGCTGGATTCTCCACACAGTGAGCTCCAGGCAAGCCCAGGAACACTCTGGCATCAGGAGAAAGGGTCATCCTGAGGCTCATATCACCTCTCCTGGGTCCATATCCTGCTCACCTGCAGCTGTGGCTCTGCTGGGAATCCCACCTGTCCTTGAGGAGCTGCTGTGTGAGCTAAGAGCTGGGCCGTGGTTATTCTGACCCTGCTGATGGCAGACAGCAGAGATGAGACCAAACATTTCTGCAGCTCCTGCAGTCTGTGACAATCCTTTGAGTTGTATTTAATTAAAGAGTGCACACAAAGGCTTTGTTTGCAGCAGCAGGCCGTGTGATAATCCTCTAACAACTCTTGGGATCCTGCAGGAAGGAAAACTCTCATTAATAAAGACTTTGGTTGTAACTCCATGTGAGAGCTGCTGCAGGATTGAGAGCTGCAGAAGATCACGTCCAGAAAAACATTCCCTTCATCTTTCTGCTCAGAGTGTGAGCAGGAGAAGCAACCTCTCCAACAACAAACCCACACAACTGGTGACAAACCCACCGCAACTTTTACATGTTGTCTTGGCCATGCCAGGAGGGATTAGTGAAGTGTGTGTGGGGAGGTGTTATCAAGTTTCAGCTTCAACTATAACAGATATTCCCAAGAAGCTGGATTATTGTTCACTATCTGATGTTGATGTGAGCTAACCAGAGCTTGCTATGTCTTTCCTTTATATTTACTTTGTGGATGGGAAATGTGAATCCATGTGCTCCTCAGCCCCCTGTCTGGGTGGCCAGTTGCCCACAGAAAGATTTTGAAGCCCAAAATCTCTTCCTTTTCCACAGCATAAAAAACAAACAAACAAACAAAACAGAGCTGGGGAAGTAGTAAAGTGAGCTTGTACCAAGCTGTCTATAAAATCTACTCCAACTTTTCTAGGAGGAATACACCAAGGAAAGAGACTTATTTAGTCCCTTATCCCAGGGAATATCCCCCTTGACAGGCAAGAGTTCCAGCTCTTGAGGGGTCTTTTCAGCCACGAACGTTTTGCCAACTGGGAGGTGCATTGAGGCAACTGAACTTGTTGCCTTGCTCACCATCATGCCAGATGTACTTGTGACCCACCAACACAAAAAGACACACTTCATGTTTCCTAATGATGCCCAAAACTGTGATATTTTCACATTATTTTTTATTCCACTTGCCTCTGTTGGCCTGTATCAATGACAGCTGTGATACGTGAGGGTTATTGCTGTTATCACTAAGGAGGGAGAAGAGGGTTGCTGTGATTGGGTTATTTATTTACTTGTTTACTTAATGTGGCAAATGAGCCATAAACTCGAAGTCCTCCACTGTGAATCTGTTTGTTGACCTTGGTGATTCAGTTAAAGGTCTGTAGACATTAAATTCACACATCACTGACCTCCTCCAGCTAAGTAGTAGGTGTTTCAGTTTGAACTAGTCCAACTGCAGTCAGGGAAGTGGGATGAAAGCCTTCAGAGCTGATGCTTGCTAACTCTCTGTGGACTAGGAATGGTAAAAAATCAGTTCAGACTGAACATAGAGCTTTGACTCAGCTAAAATTAAGGGTGATGTTTCCCACTGAGAGAGAAGTCGAGATACATCCCACTCTTTCTTTGCTTATAGAATCATAAGATCATTAAGGTTGGAAAAGAGCTCTGAGATCATCAAGTCCAGCCACTAACCCAGCACTACCAAGTCCCCATTAACCCTGTCCCCAAGTGCCACATTTACACAGCTTTTAAATCCCTCCAGGGATGGTGACTCAACCACTGCCCTGAGCAGCCTGTTCCAGTGTTCACCCTTTTGGTGAAGAAGTTTTCCCCCATATCCAGCCTAAACCTCCCCTAGAACAACCTGAGGCTGTTTCGTCTCATCCTGTCCCTTGTTCCCTGGGAGCAGAACCTGACCCTTCCCTGGATCCATCAGGGAGTTGCAGAGCCAGAAGGTCCCCCCTGAGCCTCCTTTTCTCCAGGCTGAGCCCCTCTAGCTCCTTCATCTACTCCTGCTGCTCCAGCCCCTTCCCAGTTCCATTCCCTTCCCTGGACACACTCCAGCCCCTCAAAGTCTTTCTTGTCATGAGGGGCCCAAAACTGGACACAGAATTCAAGGTGTGGCCTCACCAGTGCCCAGCACGGAGGGACAATCCCTGCCCTGGTCTTGTGGTCACGCTATTCCTGATCCAGGCCAGGTGCCCTTGGCCTTGTTGCCCACCTGGGCATACCTGGCTCATGTTCAGCTGCTGTCATCAGCACCCCCAGGGCCTTTTCCAGCCCCTCTCTCCCCGGCCTGTGGCTGTTGTGGGGTTGTTCTGACCACCTACCTCACCCAAAAGATCCCAAAAAGTCAGCACCAGCACTACAAAATCCAAGATCACCTGTATTTTGGTGGTCTAGCTGCTGGACACTCTTTTTTCATTGGTTTACCTAACACAGATATATTTTCTCTTGGACTATATGTAAAAAATATGTGATTTTAAAAATTATACCTGTAATCAAGTTTGCCTGAGTCTATATCACAAGCTCACTTTTCAGCCTTATCTCTGTTTTGAAAGGTGATAAAAAACAGTTACTCAAAAGAAAATACGGGGCCACTGAGGTAAATATGCAACCTAGCAACTTAGGCCTGAATTTTTAGTGAAGGGAAGAAGTGGCAGTGAAGTACTTGCTAATGGGCTTGGTGCAAAAATTGCTGCATAAAAAAAATAGTAATAAAGTATATTGTAGAAACACACAGTGCTTTGCCAGCCCTGATCAAGGTTAGAGCAGTATGAATTAATTTTAAAGGGAAAACTGGAGGTATTTATAGACCTGAGATGAATTTGGCAATAGTTTAAATCCAGAGAGTTAAAACTGTCCTTTGAAAAATGCAGATGTTTTGAAAACATTTCAGTCTTTATTTTTACAGCAAGTGTTCTGCAAATCTCTCACGCTTCCCCTCGTGCTTTTTTGAGGTTAAAATAAAAAGGCAGCAAGCACTGTAAATCAAAACAAAATGAATTTATGGTATTTTAGAGGAGCCAAGATCAAATTTCCAAAGATCTGTTTCCCCTTGGGAAAAAGAAACATTTGAGAATGAAGACAAGTCCTAATGATTCCCCCTCTTCTCGTGTTTGTTTTTTTTATTTATTTTCGATTTGACTAGAAAACCACATAATTAATTGTTTATACACTGCTAATCAAGGCCCATTCCCAATCTAAAGAAAATTACAATGTGAACCAGGCATGGTATGAAACAGAGAAGAGAGCTAAAAGGCTAATAGGAAGCGGTGAGAATAAAGTTAATGTGCTAAATTATTTTATAATGTTAATCCAAAGGGCAATTTACAACAAACAGTTGTTCCTTCAAAGGATTTCTGGACCTTCCCCTTTACAAACTTGTCTGGCAAATACATGGGTAGAGCAACGATTACACGTTTTGAAACGAGACGGGAAAAGGGTTTTTTTTTAATTTAGTTTATTTTCTCTGCCTATTTCAGATGAAAATCTATGCTTTTTTCTAAATCCTTAAGAGTGAACACTGAATCAATGACTTTTTACAGGTTCATGCCATGTCCTCATAATCTGTCCCTGAAGCTCACACGACTCGTGTTTTCTCCCACATCACATTTGACAGTGAGGGTATAAACTCAGTCCAAACCTGTACTCTCCTCACATCATTCCTCTCTTTCCACCTCTTTGCAGCTGGATTTCTGAATAGGTTTCTCCCTCTAAATGCCCTTTCTCCCTCTGAATGCCCCTTCTAATCCCTTTAAAAGAGATGGGGTTTGGTGCAGCCTCAGTTTCTGTGTGTAATTACCATAGCAACGGTCAAGGTGTCCCCCCAGGTTGAGGGCATGTTGGTGGCAAGGGGACACGGTGATATGTGTGAGCTCCTGGTTCCTTTTTTTGGAGTTAAAAATCAATATTTTCACATTTTATGATTGAGGCGGTTCATGTAAGGAGTCCACGATTAATTACCTGAACATTCACAGCCACTGTTGAATTACAAACACAATATAATTAAGTCTGACTGAGGAGAAACCACTTGAGGGAAAAAAGTCTTGTCACTGGGAATTTCCTGCTTTTTAGCTCCTTGATCTCCTAATCTGCATCAGAGGTTTGGTTCTTATTTGATTTGGTTTTTGTTTTGCTTTGAATTAGCAAGAGCCAGGAGACAGCCCCTGTGAGGATGGAGGGAATAAACCATGAAGCCCAGATCCCACTGCTCTTGGCATGAATATTAAAGCTGCTCTCTCCCTGTCCTACATAACTGGTGATTTTGGTTATCCAGGCAGGGTTCCTGGAGCACAAAGTAGCAGGATTGCTCCTGATCATCAGGAAAAAATAAGTTGTGGGGTTTTTTTTCCTAAGGGAAATGCAGATTTCTCAGCAGGCTCCGGGTTGCACTCCCTTCTCTCAGGTAGACAGAGAATAAGGCTGGTTGTGTGTCACCATTGTGCAGTGGCCCTGGAGAGCTCCAGGTCACTCCATGAGGTCATGAATTCCCAGGGATGCATCTCTGAGGGTGGGTTTTGCTCACTCTGTCCTTCTCTGCCCTCTCTGCAGGCGTCCAGCACACGACCAGAGTGCAGCATCATGCAGGAGATCGAGGAGGAGCGGAGCCAGTGCTTGGCAGAGCTTATTGGGGATAACCAGACTGCAGGTATGGGAATATGGGAATGCTCTCTTCTCTCCTTGGCCAGCAAGCCAACATCCCCCAGCCTCACATATGCCTTCCCCAGGCCATTTCTCATCCCTGATGGAGCAGGGCAGTCACTCCAGGTGATCCTGAGCTCTTTAGGAGGCTGATTGAACTGTGCTTTGGAAGTACCTATTTCTCTCCCTCCAGCTGGAATAGCTCTCCAGGGTTCCCTTGCTGCCTTCCAGCTGGGTAAGCCTAACTTAGGTGTGTTTAATCACAGTCATCCATCTCTCTGAAGTGGAAGTTCCTTAACCAGTTTTTCCCTGGGATGTGAAAGCCTGAAGTTCCCAGGTTCAAGGGAAGCCGTGGCAAATTTCTCCTTCCATTAAACTGCCCTCCCATCCCCGTGTCAAGGTTGCTCCTGTCCTGGTGGTGAAGCAGAGGAAGGGAGGGGGTTTTCCAAGGCTACAAGGTATCTCTGGAGTTGGGGCAGGCAGTTGAGGTCCTCTCCTTGTTCATGGAGCACACACGACACTGGGCAGCCCTCCTGGAAAGGTCTCCAGTCTCGTTAATCCACTCCCTGCTTCAGTGATCAGGAAAGGAGGAAGGAACTTAGCCCCAAGTTAAGACATCTAGTTGGATCTCTCCCCTTCCAAGTGCCTCTCTCAAGTCACCAGTCTTGTTTCTGTAGGTAAAAGAGGTGTAGGGACCAAGATTGGGCTGTCAGGATCCAAAAAGAAGGGATCACATTGCCGAGGCAAAGGGTGGGAAGACGCGTATCCTGCTTGATATTTACACCTCTCTTCCTGAAAGAGGAAAAGGGGGAAGAAGATGTGTCCTCATCCTCTCTCCCTTGGCATTGTGTGCAGTCAGGACACAGACTGAAGGACTGTTCCATGCTGCTTAATGATGGAATAACATCCTGAGACAAGCTGATCCCAGGAGGAGCTTTACTGGATGCAAGGAAGGCTTTTGGCCCCTGCTTTTATCTGCTAAGAGACAGTTTGCTTTGATATGGAAGCTGTTTCAAGTGTCCCTGTACAGTTAAGTGGAGCTGTTTGAAGAAATGTTCTCCTGGAATCCAGTAAAGGGTAGTTCAAAACATTCATCTGAAAGCCAACTAAATACTTAATTTCATTTTTGTGGCTATTTAAAGAAATTCGATTACATACAGTTCATTAAAAGCAGAAAAATAAATACTTGGAGTGATAATATTTTTTTCTGCTTTGTCAAAATGATTTTTCTCATTGGGAACTTTAATCCAAAACAGCTTTTTTTTTTCCTCTCTCTAACCACCGAATTAAACTGCTGAAAACATTTTTCCCAGTTCTGAAGTAAAGACAGGCAAAAGCCCTTAATGCCCAAGCATTAGCAAGTATAGGGAAATCCTTTGGAAGTGGGGGGAGTTTCACAATGGAACACTGAAATATTGGACTGGGAGAAGTTTACATTTCCACCAATCACTACTCAGGAACAATGATTCAGAAATTGCAGTTGTGAGCACTGTAAACAGTTTTTTGTCCATGGATTGGGTTAATGTCATGCCCTGAAATGGTCAGTGGTGACACTGGTGTGGAACAGGGATGTGCAGGGACATGGAGTGTGCCCAGACAAATTTCACAGGGCAAACTCTGTGGAAGGCAGTTGGAATCCATTTGGCTCAAAACATCAGCAGGTATTTAAAAGCTCAGTACCTGACTTTAATCCAGACACTCATGGCTGCCATGGAGTGAACAGAAAGAAACCAGAATCTCTCAAGTGTTGGCCCAAAAAATGACTCTGAGTGGATCAGTTTATGGAGAAGTCTGTTTTGAAGGTGGTGTGGACAGATGATTTCAAAGTGCCTACAGGGGATGTGTTTTCCCTGTGTTTAAGGCACAAGTAGGTCAAAAAAAGATGTTTTTTCTGGAGTGGGGCTCCATAACTCAATAAATGGAGCTGAGCAAAATAACACTTTGACGTTTGTGGGTGAGGGGGAAGTTTGTTGGGGAGAAATCTCTTGAAGATGCTGATAGGAGATCGTATGAAGGTGATGACTGTCTCATCTGAGTGTTGCTGGAAAGAAAAACCCCAGTAAAACTCACAGGAAAAATGTAATTTTAACACAGTTCCATCCCCCAGAACAGGAGGATGGAAAGCAGTTGCGATTCCCTGTGATCAGCAGTGTAATACCTTGATTTATGGCCAGGAGGTGTGTTGCCTTCTGCACATTCCACATCCTTTGAGCAGAAAGAAAATCGCTTGAGGTTTAACAATTTAACAACCAATTTGTTATCCTCGCTAATTAAATGAGTGGAAATAAGCAAACACTGTTTTGGTACATTGTGGACATAAAGCTTTGTTTAGAAGCCATTATTGATTGTATTGATCAGATGGGCTTAATCACAGCTGTAATTTGATGTGTCAGATAGATTAGTCACTCATTAAGAACACTTGATGGTGGTGCTGAGGGTGATCACTGGATAAGCAGGATTTCCACTGATAAACAATACCATTTGTCTTAGAGGTGTTTTGCCTTCCAACACCCATTCCTGGTGTTCATTCCTTATGGGAGAGGAGAGGGTATAAATATAAAATCAGTGCTGTTTTTTCAGATTAAACCTCTGTGCTCTCAGTGCTGGTTGTAGGTGCCAGTTGCTGCTCCTGGTATCACCCGTCCTGGACCACAGGACTCCTGTTGATTGTTCTGCCCTTCTTATGAGACCTCACCTAGACCCCACCTGTCTCCAGCTCTGAGCTTCCCAGCACAGGAAGGACAGGGACCCATTGGAGACAGTCCAGAGGAGATCACCAAGATGATTAGAGGGTTGGAGCAGCTCTGCTGCGAGGAAAAGGCTGAAGAGTTGGGGTTGTTCACCCTGGAGAAGAGAAGCTTTGGGGTGACCTGATTGTGGTCTTCCAGGATCTGAAAGAAACCTACAGGAAAAATGGAAAGAGACTATTTACAAGGGCCTGGAGTGACAAGACAAGGAGGGAATAACTTCAAAGTGAAAGAGTGGAGGTTTAGATTGGATAATGGGAAGGAATTCTTCCCTGTGAGGGTGGGGAGACCCTGGCACACATTGCTCAGAGAAACTGTGGCTGCCCCATCCCTGGAAGTGTTCAAGGCCAGGTTGGATGGGGCTTGGAGCAACCTAGACTAGTGGAAGGTGTCCCTGCCCATGGCAGGGGGTGGGATTGGATGATCTGTGTGAATCCCTCTGTTCCCTGCCAGGAGTGTGATTCAGCGTCTGTGAAGTTTCCCACATTTGAGGAGACTTGACAGTTGGGCTTGATGATCTTAAAGGTCTCTTCCAACCTTGATGATTCTATGATTTTATGATTCCGTGACCAGAGGCCACAAAAACATGCCCACCTCTGATGAGGAGAAGTTTGTTTTTCAGCAGGGGAAAGCCCACAGAGGATGCAGTTCGGGAGAAATCCACAGGGAAAAGCAGTTGAAGCCGGCAGTGTGTACACGGGAGAATCAAACGGCTGGGAGATCAAAGTCTGGACTTTAAAGGAAGTTTGTAACCATCAGAGGATACCAAACAGCCTTTCTGGAGGTCTGCAGAAAGGAGTGTTTTGTTTTATTGACTTGGTGGCAGAGCTTGCCCAGTTTATGGCAGGGTGTGTAGGACGCGGTTCACGTTGCAGCACAGGGCTGGATTTCATGAGCAGGACTGTCCTTGTAGTCCTGTGCCTTGGTGTTTTATAACTCCATGCTGAAGTAACTAGCAAAGATATAAAATGACATGTGTGATTCAATACAGGAGTGGATTTTTTACCATAAAATCAAGACTAAGTAGACTGAGACCGATTTTAGACATGGCACGGGAATGACTTCTGGTGAGGGATTTTCACTTGGTTTTAGGCATCTCTAGTGTGTTCTGGCATCTGGTTTAGGATGTGATGAATCCTGTCCAGATTGTCTTGCCTGCTGACAAGATCTTTGTTTACTATGAAGGGATTCTTAGTGAGCAGCTCAGTTGTTTTGAAAATAACCACATTTATCAGATGATCCCCATTTTGATGTTCACTGTCTTAGAGGGGCCAAATAAGGTGAAAACCCAGCTCCATCATTAGAAAGGGATTAATCTGTCCATTCACATACAGAACTGCAATTCAGGAGGCTAAACCTTCACTTGGGTATTTGTTAGATGATCTTTCCAGCCCTTTGACACCTCCCCCCCAAAATGCTCAATTTGAGGCATTATTAAAAAAAATCCTTTGAAAAACTTGTTGCTGGGCAAGTGACGGGATTCACCTGCTCAGTGCAGGGGAGAATGTACAAAATTCCTCATCTCAGTGCAGACTGTGTTCCTGAAGGACCTCAAACTCAACTGAAATCATTGTGCCATTTCTGTGAAGGGCTATAAAAGACTTTTTTTGCCAGGTTTTTCCATGTTCTAAAAGGAATTTTGGTTATTCCTCCCCTCGTCACACAGTTAAAGGAGAAAGTGCTGCTGGATTGGGTCACACTCAGACTTACCTGGGTGCTGACTGGTGAAATCTGGAGTTTTATGTGTCAAGTATCCAGCTTTCCTTGCCAGAAATGTGCTGTTCTTATGGCTGGGATCATTAGATAAAATACCACAAATGTTTATAAACAATTCAGTTGAAACTGAAGCACGCAAATAAAATAATTTAAAAAAAAAAAAAAAAAGAGAAACCCTCTCTCTTTTTTTTGTTAAAAAGCCAAGAAAGTCAATCAGGTCCAGGCTCAGCTCATTATCTGTTTATCCCATTATTGGTAATCAATTTGTTCTGCAATCAGATACTCTTTAAGAAGCAGGGGAGTCATTTAGGGATGCCAGTTAAATAAGGAGCTGTGACTTGTGTTTGGGTGGGATGAGAAGCTCTGGAGACCAAGCTGGAGGAAGCAGGACATCCTACAATAAATGGCCTTCATGGAATCACAGAATCATGGAATGACTTGAGTTAAGAGGGACCTTAAAGACCATCTCATTCCAACCCCCTGCCATGGGCAGGGACACCTTCCATTATCCCAGATTGCCCAGACCCTCATCCAACCTGGCCTG